TATAGATATGCAAGAACAATATGAAACGTATTGGGTTGAGGTTAGTTTAAATAAATAGTCAAAAATTTTACTCTGCACTATTTTTATATTAATTTGAGAGTGGTATGATGTCAATGTTCTTTGAACCTCTAATAGTGTTAATGTACCATTATGCAATTCATAGCTGGGAATATGATTTGCAAAAGAACCAAAAAAAAGGTTTGCTTGGCAAGCGCTGGCAATTGGTTAGCCCAACAAATCAGAAGATAACTAATTAATATGGTATATTAAGTTCAATTATTATCCGGCTTATAACTGTATTAATCTTGCAACTTTGTCAACGGTTCTTATAATTTAAAATTATAACACTTAGACTATTGTGTTACATTATTTCTCACTGATGCAATTCTATTTCTATCCTAATATTATAAAGAAAATCTCAAAAATATTCAAATTATATCCTTTTAACCAAACCCAATATCTGCATTACACATTGAATCAGGGGTTTATTGCATAGCCTTTTTAACAACGTTTTTGAAGTATACAAAGAGAAAAGAAAATTTGGCGGTGATAATTATGATCAAATTTTATAATTTTTTATAATCATAAATTTATAATTTGTAATCATTTTTATAATTATCGTACAAAAATTCATTTTCAATGTACAAACCTATAATAATTTGGTAAACAAATAATGTTAAAATTACATTAATATTTTTAATATTGTGTTGCCATAAACTTAATATAATGTACCCTATATTTAAATTAAATAACCTTTTTGAAATACTTAAAAATATGCATGGAGAAAAATAATACTCGATAATTTCTCGAAGGTCATCGAAAAGTTATTTTTCATTTAGGCAAAATTATAATAGTGATATTTTTTTCTAATGCAGCTGGCAAACACTTAGACAGCAGTGCTTGGATGCTTAAAGCAAGCCCGCTGCACAGACGCGTTAGTCACTTTGTACTATCCAGGCGCGTGTCACTTGAAGATAGCCACGGAGTAACAAAGCCCCACACCAACGCTCTACGGTCTGTATACCGGGACCTACGGACTTCAAAGAAGTGGATTCGAACCACTACAAATATCCATGGCACAGCCGGGACTCGAACCCGAAACCTGTGGTACCGAGCGCCACAGCGCTAGTCCGCTCCCACAGCCATCCAGGCCCATAATAATTGATATAATATTGTATAATGAAACAAAATAATGCTTAAATTATATTTATTTAAAAAACATGCGTAGCTTCAAACAATAAGTCCTTTATATAAATTTAATAACTACTTTGAAATTCTTTCAAATATGTGCGTGCTGATTTTTAAAAATCCAATACATCTTTCAGTTATAATTTAATTCCTTTTATTATGATTCACTTAGAAAATGAAATTCTTCAAAAATTTTGGAACTCATCTCTTAAAATGGAGACCTCTGCATCAATTTGGAGATGGGCAATTTAATTACCCAAAGCTACCTTAACGTTTTCAGTGCACCCGGAAGCAATTACCAATGGTTTCTGTTGGTTTTGTTTCCGCGATACTATTGCACACCGGCCGATGAAATTCCTTTGTCATTCTCGTTTGTTTTTCGTTACTGCGTGGCTTATTAGATTATTGATGCTTTAATTAGCTAATTAATGGCTGTGAGAGCCGTAAGAGAGACATTGGGTTTCTGCTGCCCATCTTCCCAGTCACTCATTTCCACATTCCTCCTGTAAAATCTGCAGATGGGATGGTGTAAATCGTTATCGATAATGTGTTGCGTTTGAATGGTCGATTAATGGTGGGCTCTTGGGTCATTAATCTTGATTAATTATGTACTGGAGTAACGAACAAATAATGTATTTCGATTATGAAATGGTACACGTGTTTAGTTTCTTAGGATGAGTTTGATGGTACTTTAAAACACGCTTAGTGATTATCTGTCTTCAAGCTTTTTAAAATACTTTTGTAGTTATTTAAGTTTAATTAATTAATATGAATTTTATGTTAGTGTTTCTAAACGCATAATTCGCTATATGCAACATGTTTTTATACCGGTTCTCGTTAGATCACCGAAGTCAAGCATCATTGGGCGCGGTCAGTGACTTGGGTGGGTGATCTTGAGAACACCGCGTGCCGTTGGCATTCACAAATTTGGGACCTGAATGGCCGAGTGTCTGGCGCTCGGTACCACAGGTTTCGGGTTCGAATCCCGGCGGTGCCATGGATGTTTGTAGTGGTTCGGAATCCTTTAAGCCGTAGGTCCCGGTCTCCCTATGACTGTAAGAGCGTCACGGGCAGAAGTCAGACTTCTACCTACGGGTGCTCCATCACAACAGAAGCTGCTTCCTTCCCCTTCAATCGTGAGTACGTATGGGCTCGTGGGCTTGGCCAGCCAAGTGGGATAAGAAACAACTACAAAGAGTTCCTTCTAATACATTTTTAAATTGGATAAAATTTCTTTTTTGCGATGTGCCATTAATGTACCATTTTGCATTAATATGGTCTTCCTTTAACACTACTTCTCACCAATTTGGCAATTCTATAACGCTGATCTGCACTAATACGGCTCAAAAAGTAGCAAAATTTCAACTACAAGAAGTTATTCTTAGGATAATTTTGAAAAATGTTGAAATAACTTGCAATAAGATACATTTTGAGGTCAAGCTTCCATCTTATTTGATTACAGGCATTTGGGATTCTGTATAAGTATACAAATACATTATTATACTTTTCCTTCGAAATTTTTATATTCAATCGAATCTATCCTAATGTAAAAGTGTCCGGAATTGTTAAATAAAATTCAATTTATTCATCAAAATTTCTTTGCCACCTTCAAAGTAAGCCTCATGGAATGCAGTACAACTATGACAACGTTTGATCATATGCATTTTTCGCAGGTTGATGGAAGTGTGGCCTACAGTTTCTTCATTGAATTTCCTTTTGTTCTCAATTGAGTCAAAGCGCAGGAAAATTTACATGGTGCCCAGTGGCTGAACTATACCATCTGAGGCCCGCGGCAAAAATGTTTTGAATGGGGCTCCTCAATGCAAAGTATCATTTTTTTTCTATTTAATAAAGTATCGTCTTAAGGTGCCTTTAGGTTTGCGCTCGATAATGCTCATTATCGATCACAAATCATTTCGATTGATCATTTAATACTTTTAAATGACAATTATCAATAAAGTATTATGAAGATGTAATTTTTTTCAAGTCAATTTTAGTCACTTCACTTTAGTGTGGATCATGTGCATCGCTAGTATAGGGCTGTGGTGATTCTGGATCTGTGTTGTCGAGGACTGCATTACTAGCACTTCGGTTTGGCTAATGTCTTCACTTTCGACGCCCTGTTTGATTGTTTCTTTCCCACTCTTAAAGTATTGACTCGTTTTAGGTAATTTCTTATTTTTTTTTTTCTTCAAACTTCATTTTTTCTTTTTCGTTTATCACTCCCTACTAAGATGTTTTCTGTTACTAGACATATTATTACCTAATTTTCCACAATCGACTACACGACTTTACATTTTCGCCGATGATGTAGATGATGAAGATTTCGTGATCCGATGAAACAAAAAGTAAGATAACAGTGACGCATGGAAAATCCGCAAAACAAGGGACTTCCCCGCTTTCTGGAAGTCTCTGACTTGTCAGCGAAAATTCTCACTTCTCAAGAATCATGGGAATTCCACAACGTGAATTTAAAAATTTCCCAGCGGTATATGGCTGTCAACGGAAATTCAAACTTGTAACCTGTAAAATAAAGTTTTATTTTGTAAATACTACCTATTCATGCACCAGAAATCGGGAAGTCCCTAGCATCGGGATTACCCGTGCGTAACTGTTTTCATTATTATTACTACCAGATGCGATACATTTTTTTACAAATGAATTAGTGCAAATTGTTGATACATATTTTTTTAATATATCACATCAGTAACTTAAATTTATCAAATAAAGAATTAATAAATTTTACTTTTATTTTGTAATAATAAATGTCACAACTTTCCTGTATTCACAGCTCTCTAATCGGGGTGGTGACAATTTGCGTACTTTCTTTTACGCTACTGATGGCGCCATATGAAGTGAATTGTGCTTAAGGCTCGTTCCCACCAAGGCGTGAGGCGTTGAGGCGTGAAGCGTTAACCAATCACTAGCCTCACCGCGTTCGCCTGAAACCGGTTTGAAATCCGCCGCTTCGAGTTGACCCATTTTCAACTCGAAGCGGAACTTCACTAGGCGTAAAGCGATTTCTGACGTTTCGTTGTGAACGGGTCGAAAAATTTTCTTTCCTGCCGCATAACGCATCGCCGCCTCACGCCTCGGTGGGAACGAGCCTTTAGTCGATGAAATCCTTAATTAATTTTCGGGAGTTGTGCAGAAGTCGGGAAATCATATCTTCAGCGACCTGCTTTCGAAGCTATTTTTGGACAAAAATCTAACTCTTTAAGAACCTGTCATGTTTAATGCCCAAAAATATCAATCACGAAGGGAATTAAACATGTCATTATTTTTAGCCACTGATTTCTTAATTTAGTCAATGGTTATTGGTCAAAGACGTATTTGATGGTTGAATACAGCAAATCAACTACTACTTCTCGGCCTCCTTTGGATGATTTATACCATTTATATCCTTATGTTTTTGATGTGCACGTTTCATCGTAGATCATCTGCAGCAAATTTAGAAATTCGGCACAAATACTTGTTGTTTAACTAAAAACAAACTATACAAAACTAAACAATACAAAACTAAAAACCAACTTTTTGTCCAACTATTTTTCTCCGTAACAAAAAGTCGCTGAGCCCTCAAAATGTTTGATTAAAATAATAGCTGCTATCAGCCCACCTAGTGACAGATAGCTCTCTCTGTGTACAGTCCTACCAATTTACAATCATAGGCTTTAGGTTCGAATCCTGGCGGTGATATGGACGTTTGTGAGTGGTTCAGAATCCACGTTAAACTGTATGTTCTGGTCAGCCAAAAATCACCAAAGAGCTATGTATTATTCATTAGAATCCATCCAAACTTATTAACTTACAAAGGAAAAGGTAACGATATCTTTTTTACACATGTTTTAAAATAAAAATTCTGGATACTTTTTATACAGAATATATATTCGTTTCTAAGTAATATTATTATTTTTATTATTTACTTACTGTTAGCTAAGTGGTTCTTGAGAAATATTATTTTACGATGTAAATACTAAATACTATTCATAAAATTAACAAAAAATATTTTACATTACAAATTTTACAAAATATTCACATCGTTTCTAGAAAATTATTCATAATTGCTTATTGTACATTCAGCATACGCCAGATAAATGTTTTTATAGTTGGCTATATTAGCACTATTATCATAAGAATTCATAATATCTTCAATGTTTTCATTTTGTCATCAACAATACGTCATTTTTAAGATATCAAAAAAAAATCAAGTCTTTTTAAATTTATTATCATGATTTTGTTTAATTTCAAAAATTATCAAACTTTTAAACTGAAATTAGAATACTGTCCTTCAACTGAAACAAAGGAATAAAATAGAGCAATTTTTTCTGACATTAATACAATCAAAAGAATTAAAAATTTATTCTTTTATTATTAGAATTTTATTTATAATTTTATTAAAACTTTTATTAATATTTTATTAAATTCATTATTTTTTTTTTTTTTTTTTTTAATTTGGCACAAACTGACAATTTTTAAATTCATTTTGTTCTTTTATTTGAATAGCTACTACCTGTTAATTCAAAAATATTAGACTTATAATTATTAAAATAAAATATATTATTTATTAAAAGGAAATTCTAATTATTTATTAAAATGATATTCTGTCAATTCTAAAAAAACATTAGATGGAAAACTTTTATCAATAATTTAATACCATAATTAATTATGCATGCAATATAAAGTCATGAAATTTCAAAAATATTAGTAGTGTATCATTTTAATCAAAGCAACAAAAAGAATGGTTAATTTATGATGAAAAAATGATGTTTAATAAACCGGTTATTGAAATATAAATTAAATATTTAAATAATCTTTTATTTTTATTTTTTATTTCTTCCATACTAAATTATACGTAAAACATGATTTATTCAATCGAATATGAAAATGTATTATTGATATTATTGAGTTGTCCTACATAAAGTGAATTTTTAGTGTCAATTGACATATATATATACACACATCTATATATACACTTATATATGTATAATATACATATATATATATACACACACACACACACACACATATATATATATATATATATATATATATATATATATATATATATATATATATATATATATATATGCAAGTAAAATCAAATCTGTAGTGGAATCAACAAAATCAAATTAAATTATAGTTTTACATATCGCTTTGTTGCTTATTCTGTCCTCTGTCTAATTATGTACTTTTTGTTACTTTTGTACTTTTATGTACTTTTGTTACAAAAAGTGCTTGAAACTTATAAGAAAACCTTAAACAAATAGAAACACTGCTTCCTGCAATATATGAATTATATTTTTGTAATGAATTTTGTAATTCATAATAATTTTTGAAACTTGGACATTATGTTACTCAAACAACACGAAACATTAAAGATGCATTTGTGAATGATTTAACTGATGCATTCACAGTGAGATGATGGTTTGAGATATTTAAATCAAGATATATGACCTTAGAAAATGAACCCCTTGGAAGACCTGGAAGCATCCTTTGTAAGGATTTTCTGATGGCAAGAGTTAAATCTAAATTATTTTTTTATTTTTAAAAATTTTGGATTAGGTATACCAACAGTTGGACGAACTGGTACCACACAAGTTGACAGACTATAGAAATTGCATCACTTGCAGATTCCGGATTTGCATATCAGGAAATATATTTGCATATCACATATACATCATGCATATATCTACGCACGATGCATATCAGTGTAAGGCAAGTTGTTTCATTTTCACCGTTCAGTTGTTTCTTTTTGAACCGTATCATTACTTGTGATGGTCATAAGCTTACAGCAAACTGATTGGTTGCAGATGTAGAATCTGAACATCCTGACAAGCCAAACTTACATCAAAAGAAGACAATGATGAAGGTGTAGAGGAATCAAGGGGGGCGGGTATTCATTACAGCTTTCTAG